TTAACTATCCTCCACCTTATCCAGAGAAGCTTCTTCTTTTACAAAATCAAGCGAAACAACTAAGCCAAGACATGTTTTAAAAAAAAGTTTGAAAAGAAAGTTGTAAGGAAATACAAGGGGAGGGATTATTAGATATGAGTTCTAAATTTCTTTTCAAAGAATTAATATGTTCATATGTTCAATTCTTTGCCTTCTACTTTTAAACTTCCTCGTTAAGCAAACTTTTTCGATTACCTACTCCACCCTGACTCATTCTGATCACCTGTTCCACCCTACATTCCAATCACCTACTCCACCCTAACTCATTCCAATTTCCTGTTACCTGCTCTGCCCTGACTCCTGCCAAAGCACTCACCCCATCATTCTCTTTAAATTAGGCAATCAGAATTAGTTTAGCCTGTGCGGTCTAACCCTAGCCAATAGGGGAACAACACAGCAGCAAGGGCCACGTGAGCCAGGGATAAGAACCCCTTCCCCTCCCTTGTCCAAGTGTGCGCTCACCATTGTTCCATCTGTAAGGGCGCACCCTTCTATATAGAAGTAACTTGCCTTGCTGAGAATCAAAAAGAAAATTTTATATTCGAGTGCTATTTCTTTTGTAGTACTGAAACTTTATATATAACACTCCTGAGCTGTAATGTTTCCACTCAAAAGTCAGCTGCCAGGAGTATTGGAGCTCCATTGTATGTTATCTGGTGCTTTTCTCTTGCTGCTTTTAGAATCCTTTGTTTATCCTTGACCTTTGGGAGTTTGATTATTAAATGCCTGAGGTAGTCTTTTTTGGGTTAAATTTGCTAGGTGTTCTATAACCTTCTTATACTCGGATATTAATATATTCTATGTTTGGGAAGTTCCCTGTTATCCCTTTGAATAAACTTTCTACCCATATCTCTTTCTGTATCTCCTGTTTAAGGCCAAAAACTCTTAGATTTGCCCTTTTTTTTTTTTTTTTTTTGAGATGGAGTCTCGCTCTGTCACCCAGGCTGGCGTGCAGTGGTGCAACCTCCGCTCACTGCAAGCTCCGCCTCCCAGGTTCATGCCATTCTCCTGTCTCAGCCTCCCAAGTAGCTGGGACTGCAGGCGCCTGCCACCACGCCCAGCTAATTTTTTGTATTTTTAGTAGAGACGGGGTTTCACCGTGTTAGCCAGGACGGTCTTGAGCTCTTGACCTCGTGATCTGCCCACCTCAGCCTCCCAAAGTGCTAGGATTACAGGCATGAGCCACTGCACCCAGCCAGATTTGCCCTTTTAAGGTTATTATCTAGATCTTGTATGAGGGCTTCATTTTTTTTTCTTTTATCTTCTCTGTTTATCTTCAAATAGACTGTCTTCAAGCTCACTAATTCTTTCTTCTGCTTGATCAATTCTACTATTAAAATACTCTGATGCATTCTTCAATATGTCAATTGTATTTTTCAACTCTAGAATTTGTTTCTTTTTAACTATTTCAGCCTCTTTGTTAAATTTACGTGATATAATTCTGAATTCCTTCTTTGTGTTATCTTGAATTTCTTTGCGTTTCCTCAAAACAGCTATTTTGAATTACCTGTCTGAAAGGTGACATATCTGTTTCTCCATGATTGGTCCCTGGTGCCTTATTTAGTTTGTTTGGTGAGGTCATGTTTTCCTGAATGGTCTTGATGCTTGTGGATGCTTGTTGGTGTCTGGGCACTGAAGAGTTAGATATTAATTGTTTCTATAGTCTCTGTAGTCTGGTCTTCTTTTTACCTTTCTTGGGAAGGCTTTACAGGTATTTGAAAGGACTTGGGTGTTGTGATCTAAGCCATATCTGCATTAGAGGGCACCCAAAACCCAGTAATGCTGCAGTTCTTGGAGACTGATACAAGTATCACCTTGGTGGTCTTGAATAAATCTGGAAGAATTCTCTGGATTACCAGGCAGAAACTCTTGTTCTCTTTCTTTTCTCTCTAACGGATTTAGTCTATCTCTGTGCCAAGCCACCTAGAGCTGGGTGTGGAATGCCACAAGCAACTCTGAGGCTACCACCACTGGGACTGTGCTGGAGTCACACCTGAAGTCAGCACAGCACTGAGTCTCACCCAAGGCCTGCTGTAACCACTACCTGGCTACTGCCTATGTTCACTTCAAGCCCCAGGGTTCCACAATCAGCAGATGGTGAAGCCAGCCAGGCTTATGTCCTTTCCTATAGTGCTGTGAATTTCCTCAGCCCCCAGCATGTCCAGAGATGCAGTCTGGGAGCCAGGGACTGAAGTCAAAAACCGTAGAAGTCTACCTGGTATTCTATTCTACTATGGCTGACCTGACCCTCAAACCATAAGACAAAGTCCTTCCCACTCTTCCCTCCCATTTCCACAGGCAGAGGAGCCAGTCCCCATGGCCACCATCAAAGACCTATGGAGGGTACTGCCAGGCTACTGCCAATGTTCACTTAAGGCCCAAGGGCTTAGTCAGCTTGTGTTGAATACTGTCAGTCTTGGGACTCACCCTTCAGGGAACTGGGCTACCCTCTGGCTCAAGGCAGGTCCAGAAATGCCATCCAAGAGCCAAGGCTGGAATCAGGGGCACCAAGGGCCCATGTGCTGTTCTACCCCACTGTGGCTGAGCTGGTACCTAAGCTGTAAGACAAAGTCCTTTTTACCGTTCCCTATGCTTTTCCCAATCAGAAGTCTCTCACCATAGTCACCATGGCTGGGAATGTGCTGGGTTTCACCTGAAGCCAGCACATCTAGATGCTGCCACTCTACAGTCTCACCCAAGGCTCATAATGTACTACCTGGGTACTGCTGCTGGTCCTTCAGGGCCCAAGGGCTCTTTAGTCAGCAGGTGATGACCCTGCCAGGACTGGGTCCTTCCCTTCAAGACAGCAGGTTCCCTTCTGGTCCAGGGTATATCTAGATATGCTGTCTGGGAGCTAGGGCCTAGAATAGGGGCCTCATGACTCTGTCCACTGCCCTATGGTACTGTGGTTGACCTGGTCTCCAATTTGCAAGACAAAGGCCTCTTTACTCTTCCATCTCCTCATGCAGAAGAAAGGAGTCACTTTTGTTACTGTAAGCTGTGCTGCCTGGGGTTGTGGGAGTGGTAGCATTAATATTACCTTCTCTGCTCTGGTTGGTGTTTCACTAGGTTGTGTGCACCTGCCCCCCCACCCCATGTCTACTGGCTCTGAGTTCAGTAAAGTATTATGGCTTGCCTAGGAATGGTAGTCTTTGTGGCCTAGACTGCCTTCAAGCTTATTTAGGACCCCAGAGCACTTTCGCCCAAGGTGGTAAGGCTTGACAAAACTGAAGTTCTGACTGCTGGGATGGGCGATTCCCTTCTGGCTAGGGTTGGTCTAAATGCTCCCTCTATGGGTGGGTGTCAGTGGAGTTCAACTTGGTTTTGCTTTCTGCTATGACAGAACAGCACTGAGTTCAATGCAGGGTTCCACAATTGCTGTGCTCTCCCTCCCCAAAGCTTACAAGTTCTTTGCACCATGCATGGCCACCAGGAGATGGGGGAATGGTGGCATCAGTAATTCAAGATTGTCTTCAATGCTTCTTTCAGTGATATGATGTTAAAACCAGGTATTGTGATTGTTCACCTCATTTTTGTTTCTTATGAAGGTACTTTTATATGTGGATAGTTGTTAAATTTGGTGATTCTGTGGGGGTGTGGGGGGTGATTAATAAAGACTTCTATTCAGCCATCTTGTTCCACCTGTGTTTTTGTGTTTTATTGTTGTTTTTTATAGAGATGGGGTCTCGCTGTTTCCCAGGCTGCTCTCAAACTTCTGGGCTTGAACAATCCTCCTGTCTCGGCCTCCCAACCTGCTGGGATTACAGGTGTGGGCCATCACACCCATTTGAAGACATCCTGTTTTGAAGACAAGCCTAGGCTAAATGACCTAGCCTACTGTCTAATGATATATGTTGCTAATGTTGTCAAAAGCATATTTGCCCATGTTACCTTCCTGAATTCTTGACCATGATTGTCTTCCTCATTAAGAAACTAGGAAATGGAACTTTGATCAACTGCTGAAAACTACTTACTCAATAGTAGAAAGAGAAGTATAATGAATACTAGTTTTTGAGCTGAACGAACCTTCCTAATTTTCTAAAATCCCTTTTGCTAGATCCAAAGGATTTTGAAAAGGATCTGGGATGTTTCCCATAATAAAGAAGAAAAGGCAGTTTATAATTCAAATATTAATGATAAGAATATACAAAGAAAAGGTATTTTTTGAGTTTTCAGAGTCTAAACAATACAGTAAAAATAAATTGAAAAGTTATGAGATCAAGTGTAGGCATTACAGGAACTGTTCAGCTATGCAAAGAAGCTGTTTGAGAGAGGAAATTAATCTGTCTATATCTAGGAAGAATGAAGTCAGCTTATATCAGATAGCAGAAATAATTTATTTATTAGTCTTCAACTTAAACATCTCTTATCAAAGCTGATTGTTATATATTGTAGTGCTTTTCAAATTTCACTTCTTAGTAGAACACCCTCTATTTTTACAACTGAAATTGTATAAAATAGATAAACATGAAGTTGTTCTTTTTAAAGCAAGAACTTCAAAATGAGGAGGCTAGAATAATATCCACTTGATCTCCCCTATTCCCACTGCACCAGACCTTACGACTCCTCTAAGAAAAGAGTTTGAAAATCTTCAGTTTAAATTAGGTGTTTTATTAGTCTAAGTAAGGTTTTATTAAAATGGTCATGAATAAAACTGATTATAAGAAAATAAAAATATGTCTTAATTTCTAAACTGGGTCCTTGATCCATTCTTGTACACTAATCAAAGCATAATATCTTTTTAAATACTTTGTGACTATTCTTTCTAACAGAGGTATAAGCTAGACTCTCTTGTAACTTGTCTGTTCTTTTCTGCCTCAGATCTTAATCTCTGGGATCCTAAGACTGCTTGAGACTTTCAAACAGCTAAATTCTGAACTGGAAATGCCATTTCTTCTGTGAAAGGAAGGGAAGTATGTCTATTTGTAAAGAAACAAAGAAAAAAAAAGTATTTAACTTACCCAGAGTACAAGGACATTCATGAGATGGTCTATCTGTGTTCGTTTAAAAGTGGACTTTCCACTGTTCTGCATTAATTTGGTGTCTGGCCCTAAATAAAACAGGAAGATATCAGATATTAGAATCACTGAACATACTCAGAGGCTTGGAATTGGTTGAACTGTATCTTTATGATAATCTAACCTAACCACTTTCCAATGCTCATAAAGTCCTAGAGAAGGGCTCACAGTTTTCAATAACTCAAAAAACGGAAAATTTTTTCTAAGGATAGTTCCAATGACTTCTTTAAAGTACACTCATGCAGATCCCTCTCTTTGTAGCTCCTCAGACAGTCTCAACTTTCATGGATGAGTTAAATTAGAAGAGGAGTCGCAAGCTTCTCTCTTATCACCATCTGGTTTATTTAGCTTAGGGAAAGAATTTTCTGATAAAGAGAGCCCCATCATCTTTTGAGGAAGCCCACTGCTGGCTCAGGCTATATTGAAAGTTTCTAACTGGGAATGGAAGAAACAAAAAGGCAATGGCAGTGATTTCTTCTGAGGTGGAAGCAGGGGAGCTGAGACTCCTCTGGAGCTGAGAGACAGAGATTCCATGTTTCTTCACGACAGGGCAGATGGTACGCAGAAGTAAGGAGCTTTTAATGGCCAATGGGACTAGAGCTGGAAATTACTAACTTGAGCTATGGCTCCAGAGAAAATGTAAGAGGTTTAGAAGAAACTGTAAGCAGCAATTTTTCTGGCCTTTCACCATCTGACCATTATTCCAACATGTGTTCTGATAAAGGACAGGTAAAGGAATTTCATCAATGTTTACACATGGGGAGCTGGGACATCTCTGATATGTGGACAAACGGTGGGAGTGCAGAGCATAAGCTATGCCATTCTTTCCTCTTAAACATTCCTCAAAGGGCTTCAAGACATGAGAAGTTTGGCTTACAGCCTGGAAGCTACAGGTACCATATCTTCTAAGGGTCCTTAGACTGACTTGCCCCAGGCTTCAGGAAGAAGGTAGAAATCATCATAGAACTTGGACATCATGTAGCAGGAACAGCAACTCAATTCCATACAAATACCTCAAAATGCTGGCATTAGTCTCTGCTCAGAGCTTCCCAAAGATACTACAATGTAACCAACCTTGGGAAAACTTAACTACATTTGTGCTGGTTGGCAGCCTCACTGTTATTGCTTTCAGGAAAGAAAAACATTTTGCTGAAAAATGAACTTTTTATGAGTGGCAATTGTGTGTGAGTAGTTGCTGAAGTATATACAGTAAAGAAAATAAGTCTAATTTAAGTCTTTTGAGTTTGGGAATTAGGTAGCCTCGTCATTGCCACTCTAAATCAAGAACCAATGAAAGAAGTTCCACCAGGGCCTCCCTAGACTCTTTTTTTTTTTTTTTTTTTTTGAGACGGAGTCTCGCTCTGCCGCGCAGGCTGGAGTGCAGTGGCCGGATCTCAGCTCACTGCAAGCTCCGCCTCCCGGGTTCACGCCATTCTCCTGCCTCAGCCTAGACTCTTAAGCTTCTCCCTAGGGATTTGGTCTCATTAGTTTTCACAGAAGCAAGGAGTGTAGAAGACTCATGTCTAGGAGTAGATGCTCTAGAAGGGGAGCTCTGGGAATCTGAGTTGAATAATATTCACTGTGGTAAATCTTTCTTGATATTTCCTACTATGGTTGTTGTCACTGAGGGACTGGGGTAGCACAGAGGCTTCCTCCATTTTCCTGAACCACATCATAACCCAAGAAAATCTCTTACTAAATATAATGAATTGTGGTTCTAAATGACATCTCAAGAGGGGCCACTATTAATGATCCATATGTGACTTTTCTCTGGCATGAACTTTTTACATTATATTTTTCTCTGTAATAAGCATTGTATCCATCCTCTCTTCATGGGAATAGTTCACATGTATACTCTCCCCCTTCACATGGTAATTCTATTGTACTTCCTCTGTATGTATACCCTCTCCTGTGTCCAGATCTGGTCAAAGAGACTCATGAATGCCCTGTGGTTTTGGAATGCAATGCTTTCCTCTAACAAAGGTAGAACCGATATGTTGGAATTTCATTGCTTGGAAACAGAAGTCACTTTTTTTCCCCTCAGAAACAAGGTTTTTTTCCCACAAATCTCCCGTCCATCCATCCATCCATCCATCCATCCATCCATCCATCCACCCACCCACCCACCCACCCACCTATCTATCTCAAAGCCATAGTGTTCTGATATATATCCAAGTGTCATATCCATATCCTGAAAACTAAGTACCATAGCTCAGCCATGAATGGAATTTAGTCTGGGGGCCAAGGGAAACGTACCAGTGTAGATCACCAAGCCATAGCACCAGTCTGTATTCCTGATGATGCAGCCTCGGAGTAGCAGCTTGTCATGGTCCAGGAAGTAGTTTTTCCCTTTATAGGTCAGTATTCCTGAGAATCTGTCCAGTTTGTTATTGGGAGCCTCACATCTCACTTCTCCTGCAGACAAATGAAGGTATAAGAGTTCTGCATCTGTAATCTCAGGCTTTTCCTAAGGATGGAAGGAGACTTAATAGAAAGGAGGAAATAAAATCCTTCTTTCAAAATACATACACATCTTTTTCCTAGCCTCTCTCAGTTACTGCGCATTTCTCACCAGCTCCTTCAAGAAAGGCAGACAAAGGTTTTCTCAGCACTAAAGAAGAATAACTCTGTATGTGACATGGATCATCCAGACAGAGAGAAAACCCCACATGATGGTGACATCAGTACTGCCAGATCATATGAGCTCTGAATCTGAAGAAACTCAAAAATGACTTAAAGCAAACCTAGTATTTTTTTCAAAATGGAAACAATTTGACCTTTTCCTGATTAGTAAAGTAAATATGCCTTTTGTAAGTGTTTAAGTAATACTAAAATGGTAAAGAAGGAAGTAAAATTCATTCAGTGTCTTGAGAAAAGTGCTATTTACCTTTTGAAGTACATCCTTCTATGTTTTTTCTATATAAGTACTCATAAACATACCCATGTTTCCAAAAACAGGTTTATGTTATATACAGCATGCAGTCTTTTATAAATTGTATTTTTCTTTTAATTACATGTTATATTTTTTATTTTTCAATAAATATCAACTTGCATATTGTTGTAATAAGTTGTATAGAAATCACTATGGATGTAGCATACTTTATTTAACCAGTCCTCTACTGATGAAAATTTAGGTAGGAAAACCCATTTCCTAACTCACCATTAAAGGCAGACAGAAGCTCCAGGTGATCTTCCATGTCACTGGTAACTGAGATGGCCTGCTTCACTTTCAGGTTGGTTTCACTAGAGTAAAAGACAAGTGACCAGAGTACAGGACACAAACAGGACTGTTGCACAGGTGCAGTATCTCCTACTTTTTCATGGGGTTTTAGAAAATAGATGTTACCAGTAAAGCCTGGGCTTTGAGTCTGAGCTGTAAAAGTCACTCCCACTGCTCCTCTCTCAGTATTGAGGTGAGATGGCTCTTCAAGGAAGCTGAGTGTTAGCCATTCACTCCCGTCTCTTTCCTCTGACTCCCTGCAACACACTGCCACTACTTAACTCATGAGATCTAGCTGGTCAGGTGCTCTAGAGGCTGAAGAAACATTGTAAATAACCTGGAGATAGTATCTGCTCCCTGCAAGAATAAGGAGTATGCCTGTAATCCCAGCACTTTGGGAGGCCAGGACGGGCGGATCACGAAGTCAGGAGATCAAGACCATCCTGGCTAACACGATGAAACCCCATCTCTACTAAAAATACAAAAAATTAGCTGGGTGTGGTGGCGGGCGCCTGTAGTCCCAGCTACTTGGGAGGCTGAGGCAGGAGAATGGCGTGAACCCAGGAGGTGGAGCTTGCAGTGAGCCAAGATCGCGCCACTGTACTCCAGCCTGGGCAACAGAGTGAGACTCCATCTCAAAAAAAAAACAAAAACAAAATAAACAAACAACGAGGAGTTTGGCCAGGCATGGTCGCTCATGCCTGTGATCCTAGCACTTTGGCAGGCAGAAGTGGGAGGATCACTTGAGCTCAGGAGTTCAATGCCAGCCTGGACAACACAGTGAGACCCTGTCTCTATTTTTTAAATTAAATTAAAATTTTTAAAAAAGAATAAGGAGCAGATCCTGGTAAAAACTTGCACATACCTCCAAGGAAACATACTCCACACCTCATAAATATTTATGGGGCCCATGACAGGCTCTTAAGTAACTGCTTGCTGGAATGCATAGACAAAAAGAAAAATGGAATCCATGTTTCAAAAAATCGTGTGCATCAAGAAGTACAGTTGTAGGAATGAAGATCAATACAAAACTCCCAGGACAAGCTTTCTGCAGATGGCTCTATCCTCTTAAGACCTTAGCTTTTGGATGTTAATAAATTTCTACCTTAAATCCTTTATAGAACATGGCATTTTATCAGTGAATAGATACTTTTATATTCAAAATTTTTCCCTTGGAAACTTTGAAACTGTACTCTGAAATGTTACAGTTCTGTTATCCTCTTTCCCGCTACTCAGCATTATAGAATATGGCCAGAGTGTCTCTAATTTAGAGATGGAGAATGTGGGGTTTATTTGCCCTATTCTGTGCCCAGTGAATGCTCAATTGTTCCTGTCAAGAGCTCAGTCTTAGACTTGAGGGTCCCAAGGATGTGGTGTCCATCTTCTCTTATCTGGATATTTCTAGGCTCTCTGGCTCATATATTCAATATTCTATCTGAGAATAAAATTAATTCCCTGCCTAATGCTACCCCTCAGTGAGAGACCACTCTAAGCTGGCTAAATCATCTTAATGGAGCGTCAGCAGGGAACACTTACCCATCCAGGTCTGCTGTCTCTATGTATGTCAGACTGTATGGCTCACTGCTAGAGAGTAATAGTATATCTGCCTGTGGTCAGAAAAGTCAAAGAAAGTCAGGAAAGCAGGAAGGTGGGCTCTTAACATTATAGTGTGACAAAAGCAGTCACCTTAGGAACAGATGTTCACCCTAAGCATTTTACAGACACTGATTTACTTTCTTTGTCTAGGATCTATCACTGCTATCATACACCCTCTCCCAAAGCTACTCACACTTTCCCTGTAACTAAAGTGAGAAATAGGCAAGGACAAGCTTCTTACTGCAAGAGCTATTGATTTCTGATGCAAAACGAGGCAACGAAGGTCATCAAAAGGAGTGGTAGCAGAAGTGCTCCAAGAGTCCCTGGTTACCCACTCAATCCAAAAAAGAACAAGTCACAGCCAAAAGAGGTACTCACCGTGACAGGTTGATTATTTTCTAGTTTTATTATATCTCCCACTTGAACATTCATCCATTTGTCCTCCTTCATCCTATAAGAAAATAACCTTTGAATATCTGCTCTGAGAATTTCCCCAAAGCTCTGCTTTGACAATCAAGATGATTTCCCCAACCTCCAAAAAAGGCTGAAAGGAATAAAGACAAGGCTCGAACTGGTCTGTGATGCATCCTTGCTGCAATCAAGAGTGGGACCCATTTCTCTTGACTTCAGGCTATAAGGGTTCTAAAGCCCTACAAACGTTATCTGTAGACATACATGCACATACATTTATTTTATTTTTATTTTTATTTTTATTTTTTTTAGCCAGGTGTGGTGGCTCATTCCTGTAATCCTAGCACTTTGGGAGGCTGAGTTGGGAGGACTGCTTGAGGCCAGCAGTTCAAGACCACTCGAGCAATACAGCAAGGCCCTTCCTCAAAAATATTAAAAAAAAAAAAAAAAGGTTTTTAAAGTAAAATAATTCCAATGGTAAAGTGTGTAAAAGGAAAATATTAAAGTCTTCTCTGTTACCAGTCTTTAGTTTTGCTCCCCAAGGATAGCCACGGTTAATAATATTTTTATATTTATTTCTAGAAAATATCAATCCATGTAATCACATATAACACACATGTAAATCACATTTAAAAGCCACACACCAGATACATAATTTTCTGCACTTTGCATTTTTCATTTAACAGTCCATCTTGGAGAGCATTTATAGAAGATGTAGCTCATTCTTTTTGATGACTTAAATGTGTTCTATCATAAGGTCACATCAATTTTATCTACTTTTGTTTTGTTTTGTTTTGTTTTGAGACAGAGTCTCACTCTGTCTCCCAGGCTGGAGTACAGTGGCATGATCTCGGCTCGCTGCACCCTCTGCCTCCCAGGTTCAAGCGATTCTTCTGCCTCAGCCTCCCGAATAACTGGGACTACAGGCTTGGGTCACTACGCCCGGCTAGTTTTTGTATTTTTAGTAGAGACGAGGTTTCACCATATTGGCCAGGCTGGTCTCAAACTCCTGACCTCATGATCCGCCTGCCTCGGCCTCCCAAAGTGCTGGGATTACAGGTGTGAGCCACTGCGCCCGGCCTTTATCTACTTATGTTAAAATTAGATTATCTTTGATCCTCACATCCCTACTTTCCATAAAAGGCAGCCTGGCAGTATGAGCAGATTCTACAATAATAGTGGTTTGCTGCCCTCCTCTTTTTTTTTTTTTCAACCTCAATTTCCCCAAATAAACAGGGTCCATAAATCCTTCCTCCCTGAGAAAAGACTAAGAAGAATGTACATATTGCCACAAGCATTTTGGAAACATGAGCTATATCCTTGCAACAGTTATATTATACCAAGCACCCAAAGAGCAGGAAAAAGAGTCTACAGGACACTGTCTGTTTTGTCTCTGAATGCAGGATTGTTATCTTCAGGGCATGACATACATCACCACTTTGCCAGCTACGCATAGGCATGGGTATTCCTAGAACACCTTTCCTAAGAAGACAGCTGCTTTGAGGAGGGCCAACTTTTCCAAAAAAAGTCCTTTTATATAAATCCACTGTTTCTTTTAAATACTTTTCTGACAGTACTGTAGAGCAGTAGCTACAAGCCTTGGAGACAGACGTCTGGGTGTTTGTTTTATTTTGTCTTGACTTGACATTCACTGTTACTCTGGCATTCTATCTTCCATGGTTGTCACCAGTAAAACATAAAGAGGAACAAGTGCTGTCACATTCTGGCTTCTCCTGGAGATATAAAAATTTATAATTTCTTACATAAGGAGCTGCCAAACTATTACCAGTTTGTTCCTGGACATTATAACAATCATGTGTCCCAGATCTGGGAGAGGTGAAGACATTCCTTACTGATTTAAAATACTCAATCTTGTAATCCAAAACAGTAAGCATGTTCTGAAGCTGTTCTTGCCCTGGGTTGGGGAAGGATTGCCAGTTTTAATAATCTAATAATTTGAATTTCAGTTTCTCCCACCAGAGGGACAAGAGATAAAGCCTTATGATTTTGAGAGTCAGTGAGTTAAAACTAAGTATTTCTCATAAAGTCAGGACCCTTGAAGGACAACACTATTAGTGAAAGAGCGATCTAAAAAAAAATTGGCTCGCTGGCAAGAAAGTTTGTCTATCTTAGTCTGGAGGGTTGCGGGCGTTAGTGAGTGGAGGACTCTTCCCTGAAAATCTGTAACCTCATATTGGATGGGGCTCAAATTTATACTTCTTTCAAATTAGGTATCAGCAGGTAATACCCCTGAGTCAACTGGCAGAAACAAACACAAACCCTCATAAAGGGATACAACCTCACCTCCAGCCACATAGAATTCCCTTAAAGAAGGTTCTACTAACGATGTGTTTGTAAACAAAATTATTGAGAAATGAAAAATGACAAAAATTACAACTTATAAAACAGACAAACGTTTAAAATAGCAGCTCTGTTTAGACCCATGTGTTCTAGAAAAAGAAAGCTGTTTTCTGGAACGTAGACTATTTCAACAACCAACCTCACCTCTGCATATTAAACTAATCAGTTACTCGGTAGCTTACAGAGTCTAACCAGGGTCTTGTCTGTTAAATCCCACCTTAAAATCCCTCTATGAAAAATTCTTCAATAATCTTATAAAACCCAAGTGCTCAAGCTACTTGGGTGAGTTGATTTGACTAAATCCTTTTGGTCAGCAATTCTTAATATATTCAGTTTTGTCTTTTCTTTTCTTTTTATTTCTATTTCCCTTCTTTTCTTTTTAACTACAACTGACTTTTTTGGTGGTATCTTATGCGACATTTCAACAGGTCAAAACTCTTGAGGAAACAATCCATCATGAGTAAGAATCAGCAGACACAATACACAACAGGATTAGCTGCCCAAGCTCTTGAGATGATAGAATTATATGATAAATATTACAGCTATTGTGTGTTCGATAAGGCCACCATAATAAAGGCTGGACCTCAATCCTGAACTCCTTCAGGTTTGCACTTTCTTGCAATCATGCTTCTGCTCACACTGGTCCCTTTTCCTTTCACACAGTCTCTACTTGTCGAATTCTTCCCCTTCCCTTAAGGCCTAGTACAAACACCACACCGCTTCCAGAAAGTCTTCCTTGATTCCTTTAACCAGTTATAATTGCTTATTTTTTATTAATTTCTGTAGTAACTTTTTGTACCTCTTAGGACAGTCTTCATATTTTGCCTTACATAGGAATATGCCTTCCTTTTTCCATTCCTGCAACACTTTAGATAGCTATGACCAAACACTACAGCAGTGGGGCCAACTTCAATACTCTGTTTGGATTGCTAACACAAAAGATGACCTGACCAAAGGCTATAGTAGAATGGACAAAAACCATGTCAGAATCCATTAATGTTCTAAAGACAGATGTTTCCATGCTATCACACTAACAATATCACTTGCATAGTAATACCATAAAATATTGATTACTTTAATATATATTATTTTATTTCTATTTTCACAAGCACCCTCTAAGGTAGAGAATATTATTTCTATTTTATAGAAAAGAAAAATGAGGCCCACACAGTTATCAGAGGTGACATGACAAATTCAGGGCATGCTAGATCTAGAAACAAATTATTTCTATGTCTGAGGTTCTTTTCAGTGTCCTGAACTAAGCCCAACCCTTTCTCAGGACTGATTCTACCTAAACTAGCTTCCCTAGAAGAACTTACTTGCCATTCACCAGTAGCAGAACAGGCAGGTTGTTGACTCGATCGTCACTTTGATGCCTTTTCTAAAATCACACAAGAAAATGTTCAGGAAATAGACCTATAACAAACTGCATATAGAAGATTAACATTTTGAAATATTACACAATGTAGTTCTCTTCTTTGTAATTCTCCTTTTCTCCTATCCCAAGCCCTTCTCTCCTTAAAACCAGGCCAAGAGGTTGATTATCTCTGGGAAGCTGGGAAGAGAGGGCAGGAAAAGAATCCAGGGAGAAGAAAGAGGCAAAATCTTGGTTTTAAATATCAAAAGCAAAAAACCTGGGGGAATGAGAATAACATATCAAAAGCTGCAGAGGACACAATTCAAATGATGCGCAGGGCTACAGAATCCCATGTGCCTGGGTAGGTGCGGGGAAAGCTGAGTATTCTCAAGCAGACTCCTACCTTACCTCCAACCATGGTTGACATACAAAGGCTTCTACAGTGGCTGAGGAAAGAGGCCAATATTTAAAGACCAAATAGAAGGGAAACAAATAGAGGCTATGTCCTGATGCCAGGATTCACATAAATCTCTTCCTTCCAGTTGAGATTACTCCCTGAGTAAAGGGTAGGACTGGGAGTGGGGCAGAGAGAATCCTGAATTTGTCAGAATTCAAAATTGTCCAGATATTTATCATAAAGAGACTGAATTCTAAACCAGAAGTAATTGGGTTACAGTGAATTGGCAAATTAATTTTTGGTTCTCATTGGAGAGAGTTAAGATGGGGTATGCATTTGGTTATAAGCTAAACTGAGTTCAGTTATAGAGAAATAAAGTTATATTTTTATACATCAAAGTTGTGACTGAAAGGTAAACCACAACATGCTAATCCTGGGTTTATAGAGATAAAGTGCTGAGGAAACAAGGTGTTCTCAAACTAGGCTAAAAATCTATTCTGGCAAAATCAGAAAGACCCTCTTAGGGAAACTGCAAGCAGGTCTATAGGACTGGCTTTCCAAATCCCACTAGTAGGCATGGTACTGGGTCCTTACTCTCACCCCTCTATGCTAGGCCTGCTGTAAGAGGCAAAGAGGAAGCCATGCAGCACTCACTGTCAGCTAGTTTCTCTTTCAAGGCCAGGACAGAGGGTTCCTAGCTGTGCACACTTAACAGAATTGCAAGTTGGAAAGGAAAATAGAGTTGCAGAGGAGACAGGAAATGTGGAGACATAACAAGAAAGAGAAAGAATAGGAGAGATGAAGCAGGGGCAGATGGATGAAGGGACAGGGAATATAGAGTAGAAGGAGGAGCAGAGGAAAAACGATGAGAACAAAGCTAGAAAAAACTAAGAGAGGAGTAAAGAAAGAGTGGGTTATTAAAGATGGAAGGAGGCTTGGGAGAGGGGCTAAAAGTGGTGGTAGTAGGAAGACAGAGAAAGACCTTGTTTTGCCCTTTTCTGGCCATACATAGACCACCAATCTTGGGCCTAAAGGTACTGCATATTACTCTGGGATGGATAAGGAAAGGAGAAAGGAAAATCTCTCTTTCCATTCAGGGTTTCTTGTTAGCACTAGGTAGTTCTGGGAAGCCCTTCATGCCCACAATCTGACTAGGTGCAGTGAGGAACTAGAGGCCGAGGAAGCCACTTCACCAGATCATCGATGGCATCTTTCACAGCTGTTATGGACAGCACCACCATCAGGGGTGTCATAGTTGTATACCATGTCAAGGAGGAGATCTGGGGAATCAACTAAGAGAGGGAAAGGGAGAGAATCTTGGGTCAGAAAACTCAAAGGATAATATATTCCCCCCCGCCACCACATCCCTCACCCTCAACATCATTTTCACCTCCATTTGTTCATACAAATTCCAACTATCCTAGTTGCTTTCCACTGTTGTATCTTTCATATAACCCCCCAAATATAAGCAAACATTTCCCAAGGGAGGAGAAAAGAATAAAAGGCTCTAAGTTGCTACCTATCTATACTGAACCCCACAACCTTTGTGTTGATGGCAAAGAGTCATTTCTCCTTTGACAGTGAAAAGTAATGGGTGTGGAGAGTGGGTAAGAGTAGATACAGAAAAACTACATGCTCTCCCACACCCTTCAGTACAAGGAGGAGTGAGATGATCTGTCCCTCTCTCCCAATTTGGGCCTACCCTGCCCTGCTTCCTGTTCTTATGCTGGCACTCATATTCTAAACCATCCTAAACCTTCTTTAGCACTCCCACATGTTGATTTTATGTCAGGGAGGCTGGGACAAGAAGGAGGAATAGAGTTGGAGTTGTGGTTGGGGTGAAGAATCTGTAGCCCCCTATGGTCATGCTGAACTGTGGCAATGCAGCCATGATGAGGAGCTCCCCTTCCTTAGAATGTGGTGACCTTGTCCCTTTCCTTGTATAGAGGCTTGCTATACACTAGCTGATCCTGACCACAGCTATTCTAAGGGACTGGTCTGAGACTCCAGTCATCCATGTTCCTGTTGTCTAAAGACAGAAGACATTTCCCAGTTTAGGGAGGAAAAAAACTGATTATACAGCCTGACCCCAGAGAGATTCGTAAAATACTCTGTGAAAAAGGCCCCCAAAAGGAATACCTGTAAAAATAGCAAAATGAGGAAATATGCATTTGCAAGTCTCTGGAACTGTTCAAATAGGTTCAGAGGCAGGAAATTAAAGACACTATATTTTGAGGTCTTGATGGTATTGTTCTGTGAGTAAACAAACAAACAAGAAATACACAATTAGACAAAAGACAGCTCAAAACTGGGTTAATAAGCAGCTGCCACTACCTCCCAGTCTACCCTTCCCCTACAAAAAAGACCAAAACCACTGAGTGAAATGAGAAAAAGCCACCAAAGCACCCCGACTCCAACCACCAGCATGGGGAGGGAGAGAGAGAAGGAATCTCTAATTTCCCCCTTTTTCTTGAGGCCTAGAGAGGCCTAGAGGGTAGAAAGAAGGCAAGGCTGCTCTATATGATACTTGGGGGAATATATCTCTGCCCTGATAGAGTTCTTGTTTATTCATATTATTGATAGTAATAATGATAATCAAATCAACAGCAATAAAAACTTACATTTATTGAGTACTTACTACGTGAAAGGCACTTTCTAGCATTTTATATGTAGCAACTCATTTACTCCTTACAACTACCCTATGAGGGGGGTACTTTTGAGGATGAGGAAATTGAGGTACTGCATCCAGAGCTCTCTAACAAAGCTTTCCTTAGCCAGGCCAACTCAGTCTGGTGTGCCTTTCTGTGCTTTTTGCAATGTTGAAGGATGTCAGATGCTAAAAGCAAAATACTGTCTTTCAACCCTAGCCCACTGAAGGTTTCGATAGGGGTCACTATCAGCATTGGAGAATCATTTGGCCCTTAATTGTCCTAAGAGGATTTAAAGAGTTTTGGCTTATATCTAAGCTATTATTTTGCTGAGTGAAAATGGGAACTTGTCTACTTCCTCGATTCTGATCTCAAGATGTTCACAGGACCATCTTACTTTCTACCTTGGAGTCTTAAATCATTTGTCCTAAGATGTCAGAGCTCAAATCTAAGAGCTCTAAAAGCAGGAGAATAAGACCAAATAATTCTCTAAGTTCAAGGCTTATCTCCTACCTCTTCCATTTAAAAGGACAGAACAAAAGAATAAAAATAACTAATGGATACTAGGCTTAATACCTGACTGATAAAATAATCTGTACAAAAAATCCCCATGACACAGGCTTACCTATGTAACAATCCTGCACATCCTGCACATGTGCCCCTGAACTTACAGTTTTTTTTTTTTAAAAAGAAGAACCTACCTGCTGGCCTAGAGTACAGATACCGCTCAAGCATGAAGAATTCTTTTTTTTTTCTTTTTTTTTGAGACGGAGTCTCGCTCTGTCGCCCAGGCTGGAGTGTAGTGGCCGGATCTCACCTCGCCCAGCTAGTTTTTTTATTTTTTATTTTTTTAGTAGAGACGGGGTTTCACCGTGTTAGCCAGGATGGTCTCAATCTCCTGACCTCGTGATCCACCCGTCTCGGCCTCCCAAAGTGCTGGGATTACAGGCTTGAGCCACCGCGCCCGGCCAAGCATGAAGAATTCTTGCTAGGCCTTGCCTTAGGAGGGCATCAAAGTCTTTCTCTCAGAGAATTAAAACCATTCAGTGCTAAGACTAAAACCTGAATCTTGTGTTCCTACCCAGAAAGTTAGATAGGCTATCCAGGCAAGCATTGCCCAAGGTCTATTTCCTCAGGGAGGAGAAGCGGTCAAATAACTTAGCACTTAGGAGTTTAAAGATCCAAGCCAAAACCAAGATTTCCTTGGTGTTCTCTCCATGATTTTCTAAATAATAATCAATCAGACACTATAGCATTTCTCAAGTCTTGCTCTGTTCACAGTCTTATGCTGAACTATACTAGTGGAGGCTGAAAAATAATTAGACAGGGTCTCTTCTGGAGAAGCTCATGGTCTGTCTCCAACAAAGTTCTAGTGAAATGATCTCTAAGGGCTCTTCTTGTCATAAGAGTATATAATTCTAACATGGAAATAGCTTTCTTTGATCCTAAGATACTTTGAATTTCTCAGTGTCTAAGTCCAGATGGCTGTGATACTTGGACCCAAAGATCTTCTGAGAGGTGGCCTTACTGATGTAGCTAGCCTTCACTGTTGATTTTCCATTTGATTTTATAGTCATTTAATATATTTCAGGTTTCTACTCACGTAGGTAGCATTCTGCCTCAAGATAGAAGTACAGGTATTTGTTTACTAACTTGGCAACTAGAGTGTTTCATTTTGCTCTTAAATGTAAAACCAGAAGCAATATCCTAGTAACATCTCCTTAACTATGAAGTTCCTCAGAGTTTAGTCCTTTTGGCAGAGGTGATAAAATTTAAACATGATAGAGGTGGTTAATTTTGGTTTGGTTATTTTTTTCTTTGGGCAGTGATATGGGACTGAAGGTTAACTGGGAAAATAGAAGAGAATAAAAGGCCAAGGATATAATGAGAATCAGTAGTTAGGAGTTGGGAAGATGACAAGGAGTCACAGTGGAAGAAGGCAGAGAAATAGGAAAATGAGCAATGCTCAGGGCCAGGGAAATGAAATGGTGTTAAATATATCAGAATCAGTCAAATCTGTTCATTCACTCATTAAATATTCAATATATATTTATTGAATGTTGGCTGTGTGCATAACATTGTGATAGAAACTGTATCACAGATATACTCTGTATGCAGAGATAAATGAGATACCCTTTTTCCGAGGGCTAATTATTGGAGAAACAGAACTAACATTTTCAGAACCATACTTAACTCCTATGACCACCATGCAAGGTGAACATTATTATGCCCATTTTACAGATGAAAGAACCGAAGATCAGAGAAGTTAACAAACTTATCTAAGATATTAAGGTTGGCCGGGCGTGGTGGCTCACGCCTGTAATCCCAGAACTTTGGGAGGCCGAGACGGGCGGATCACAAGGTCAGGAGATCGAGACCATCCTGGCTAACACGGTGAAACCCCGTCTCTACTAAAAGTACAAAAAACTAGCCGGGCGAGGTGGCGGGCGTCTGTAGTCCCAGCTACTCGGGAGGCTGAGGCAGGAGAATGGCGTAAACAGGAGACGGAGCTTGTAGTGAGCCGAGTTCGCGCCACTGCACTCCAGCCTGGGCGACAGAGCAAAGACTCCGTTTCAAAAAAAAAAAAAAAAAAGATATTAAGGTTAGTAAAGGCTGAGCTATATTCAAGCTCAGATCTGTCTGATGCCCAAACCTAGATTTACTGTCCCCACTGCTTGTTATGTAGGTCTAGAAGATACAGAAGAGAAAAACCTGCTCTCATGGTCATATCTTGGATACTATTATTATCCAGAACCATTTGATACGGTTTGGCTCTGTGTCCCCCACCCAAATCTCATGTTTAATTGTAATTCCCAGTGTTGGGGAGGGACCTGGTGGGGGGTGATTGAATCATGGAGGTGGATTTCCCCCATGATATTCTTGTGTTCTCACAAGATCTGATGATTTAAAAGTGTAGGATCCCCTTCACTCTCTCTCTGTCTTTCCTACCACCACGTGAAGAAGGTGCTTGCTTCCCCTTTGTCTTCTGCCATGATTGAAAGTTTCCTGAGGCCTCCCAGTCATGCTTCCAGTTATGCCTGAGGAACTGTGAGTCAATTAAACCTCTTTTCTTCATACATTACCCAGTCTCAGGTAGTTATTTATAGCAGTGTGAGATTGGACTAATATACCACTCTTACTCAGAAATCATAAACTAATATCCCACAGAGACCACAAACATATATTTTTATATAATTATAGCTACGTATATGTATACATAGCTACACATGCATGTAATTATATTATGTATAAAACCATTGCTTGTGATCATAGAAGACTGAAAACAACCCAAATGTCCATTTAAAAGGAACTGATTAAATAAAATATGTTAAATCTGCAGAGCAAATACTATATATTATAGCTGAAGAAGGAAAAAAAAGAAAAAAACTATTATAAAATTATGATGATGAAAACATCTCCAGGATACAGTGTTAAGGTTCAGAATAGTGTAAAAATAGGAAAATAAGACTATATATTTGTATTTGCTTTATTTGCACAAAGAGACACTAATCTGATTAATACACACAAGAAAACTAACAGTGTTTCCCTCAGGGGAGCAGATATGGACAAGGATGGGGTATTGGAGCACGCCTTTTCAATATATATCTTTTCATGAATTACTTAGTCATAGATACATAAATAAGTGAAAAATGAACAATCCAATAGAAAGTGAGCAAAGATCATTAATAGGTATTTTCCAGAAAAAGAAATACAAAAGGCTAATTAACATGAATGTCATTTTCATCTAAGAGCTGGCAAAGATGAAAAAGATTGATAATAGCGAGTTTGATAGGAATGTGGAGAAACGGGCAGTCTCTACTTTAAGTAGAAACATAAATGGATATAATTCTTTTTGGGGGCAATCTGGCCTCTGATAATTTTAAATTTTTAGTGTGTTTTTCTTTTGGCACAGCCAATTTACTTTTAGGAAACTTTCACAAGATACAGTCACACAAATGTGCCAAAATATATGTATAATGGTGTTCATTCAGCACCATTTAGCATAGCAAAACACTGGAGACATTTAAATGTTCATCAATAGAAGACTGACTAAATAAATCAAGGTTTATCAATATAATGAAAAACAATGTCGCTATTAAATAAATGAGGGATATCTATATGTATTGTCATAGATAAATGTCTAAGTGAAAAAATAAAATTGTAGTACTATGCTTTCATTTGCGCAAGAAAAAGCTACAGTATTTATTTTCTGGGAGTTACATATAAACCTGAAATCTGAGACATTCTCTCCCTAGCTTATGTCACTGGATTAATTTTGGCTTCTGAGCCTTCATTGCACCACTCATTGTTTAGGAGCTTGAAAGAAAGTGTAATAGAATCTGTGTTATATAGGATCTACATCTACAAAGAATTTCATGCTCCCCCAACAAAGAAGAATATTATAGAATACTGACCCCCTTCTGAAACAGCCAGAGGGAAGACACTCACCGGATATACAAAAATACTGTTGAATTCTTTGTTGTTGGCTTGCAGATATCTCTCATGTTCTGAAAAAAGATGGGATAAACGATGAGATGGATGCCCTTGTGTATATCGGACTGGGATGTTGGCTGCTAGTGAAGACTTCACCAGATCCCCACACTTTCTTGCTGAAGATATCTATTTAAGGATGGGAGTTTGTTTCTTTAATAAAAATAATCAAGAAATGTAATAAAAATAAAAATATTCAAGTATTGAAGCTTTCTGGAGGCAACAGGACAAGTAACTCCTGAGGAGTTCTCCACCATCAATGCTTCTAGTACTTCCTAGATTATGTCTCCACAGACAACAAGATGGTCTGCACCAATTTTAGTGCCAAACACAGAAACCCAGCCTTCCCTCATAAGTCAATTTTAGCACTTTGTCTTAATATATCTGAGGCTGTTTTCCAAGTCAGCTTGTCCTAAACTTGCTTAACTAAATTTAAATTAATAAATCATGACTGAGCATCTATTGCACAGAGGCCAGTGTACTGGATGCCATGGAGGGATAAAACGATGAGTAAGACAGTCTCTGACTTCAAGGACTTTAGTATAGTAGAAGCCTGATAACTACTTGACAAAATCATCACATCAAAACATAGAGGTGTTTGTTACAAACTATTACAAATAGTGAGCCTGTTACCATGCTATGAACAAACAAATATATATATGTGTGTGTGTATATATATATTTCTTATATGTGTGTGTGTATATATATATAATCAATAGATCTTTCTCCCCTGAATGAAATATTCCTATAGTCTCTTTGGTTCTTCCTTGGTTCAGCAAGCATTTGCTGAGTTCTTGGCAGGTTCAGGCCCTGTGCTAGGTCCTAGGGTTATGAGATGAGGAAAACGTCATCCCCGACCATCTTGGTACTCCTATTCCTAGTAGGAAAGACAAATACAAAATAAAATTTCAATCTAATGCAAGGGCAGAGATACAGATTGGAGGTGCACAGAAGAGGGGATGGAAGTCAGGGAAAGGAGGACATAGAGGTATTCCTGGAGGAGAAGATGCTTTAGTTATTTGGATGATATGGATTAAGTGCTTCCCAGTTCTCTTAAGCCTATGTATTATACCAAGCAATCTAGAATTTAGCCTGAAGGCTGACAGTGCTCCTAAGCTTTCTACCCTTTTTTTTGTTGAGACGGAGTTTCGCTCTTTTTGCCCAGGCTGGAGTGCAATGGCGTGATCTCGGCTCACTGCAACCTCCGCCTCCCAGGTTCAAACAATTCTCCTGCCTCAGCCTCCCGAGTAGCTGGGATTAGAGGCATGCGCCACCACCCCGGCTAATTTTGTATTTTTAGTGGAGACAGGGTTTCTCCATGTTGGTCAGGCTGGCCTTGAACTCCCGACCTCAGGTGATCCACCTGCCTTGGCCTCCCGAAGTGCTGGGATTACAGGTGTGAGCCACCGCGCCCGGCAGCTTTCTACCCTTAATGCTTCTGGTAATTCCTAGGTAATGTCTCCATAGAATTTGCCCCCTCAGAGAGTGGGCCGTAGCAACCCCTCTGCCTCTGAGTTGTATTGAATATCTACTTTAAAGCTCTTCTGGCCCCCTAAGGTCCTCCTTGGCCCATGGCTCACAAGATTAAAAAGAAACTTCCTTCCTTGGCCCTCAAAAATTCTATCCTAGGCTACCAACTCCTACTCTGATCTTGAGCTACTTGATTCACTCCTCCAAGAGGAGTCTCTGGCTCCAGGTCCTAGAAACCCAACCCTGCAATTGTTCAAGTTTTTTTTTTTTTTTTTTTTTTTAGCTATGATTCATATAATATAAAATTCACACCCTGAAAGTGTACAATTGAGTGGCTTTTAGTATATTCACGGTTATGCAACCATCGTCGTTAATTCCAGAACATATTCATCATCCCCCAAAGACACCTCATACATGTACTCTCAATCTCACCTCTCCTCTCAGTCCCTGGTGGACACTAATCTACTCTCTGTCTCTGTGGATTTGTGTATTCTGGACATTTTACATAAATAGAAGCAATAAAATATGTGGTCTTTTGAAACCGGCTTCTTTCACTTAGAATAATGTTTCCAAGGTTCATTCATGTTGTAGTATGTATCAGTACTTCATTCCTTTTTACATCTGAACAATATGTCAATGTTTGGATGTACCACATTTTACTTATCTATTCATCCATATTTGGGCATTTGGTTTGTTTCCACCTTTTGGCTACTGTGAAGAATACGGCTATGAATATCCATGCATAAGTTTTTGTGTAAACATGTTTTCATTCCTCTTGAGTATATACCTAGGAGTAGAATCAATAGGTCGAATGGTAACTTTATGTTTAATTTTTTGAGGAACTGCTTAACAGTTTTCCACAGTATCTGTACTATTTTACATTCCCTCCTCACAATGTATGAGTGTCCCAATTTCTCCACATTCTCTCCAGCACTTGTTATTGCTCATGCTTTTTACTTTGGTAATTTTAAAGGCTGTGAAATAGTATCTCACTGTGGTTTTGATTAGCATTTCCCTAATGACTAATGATGATGTTGAGTATCTTTTCATGTGCTTATTAGCTATTTGTATATTTTTCCTTTGAAGAAATGTCTATTCAGATTATTTGACCATTTTTAAAAATTTTCAACTTTTGTTTTACATACAGAGGGTACACGTGCAGTTTTGTGGCACACGTATATTGCATCCGCAACCCCTCCCCCTCTAGTAGTCCACAGTGTCTACTGTTCCCGTTAATGTCTTTGACCATTTTTAAATTGTGTTGTCTCTTTATCACTGAACTGTAAGAGTTCTTTATATATTCTGGATAGAAGGCCCTTATCAAATATATGATTTGCGAATATTTTGTACCATTCTGAGTTGTCTTTTCATTTTCTTGAAAGTTTGCTTTGAAGCAACAAAATTTTTTATTTTGATGAAGTCCTATTTATTTTTTCTTTGGTCATTTGTGTTTTTGGTGTCATAGTTAAGAAACCATTCCTAATCCAAGGTCATTAGAATTTACTCCTATTTCTTTTTCTAAAAGTTTTATAGCCCAGATGCAGTGACTCGCACCTGTAATCCCAGCACTTTGGGAGGTTAAGGCAGGAGAATTGCTTGAGCCCAGGAGTTCAAGACAAATCTGGGCAACATAGTGAGATCCCATCTCTACAAAAACTAAAATTAGGCATGATGGTGCAGCCTGTGATCCCAGCTATTCAGGAGGCTGAGGTGGGATGATCACTTGAGGCCAGGATTGAGGCTGGCCAATGAGCCATGATTGCACCACCACACTCCAGTCTGGGCAGCAGAGCAAGACTCCAAAAATAAATAAATAAACAAAATTAAAAAGAGTTGTATAGTTTTAGCTCTTACATTTAAGTCTTTGATCTATTTTGCAGTAATTCTTGTATATGGTGTGAAGTAGGGGTCCATTTTTATTTTTATGTTTTTGTATGTGTATATCCAGTTCTACCAGCACCATTTGTTGAAAAGACTATTCATTTCCCAATGAACAGTTTTAACACCCTTTTGAAAATCAATTGACCGTATGCGTTTTCTGTATCTACTGAGATAATGCGGTTTTTATTCTTCACTCTGTTGATGTGGTATATCACATTGATTAATTTGCATATGTTAAGTGATCTTTGTGTCCTAGAGATAAGACCCACTTGGTCATGATATATGATTCTTTTACTGTGATAATGGATTTATTTGCTAGTATTTTGTTGAGGATTTTTGCATCTATCAGAAGTATTGGCCAATACTTTTCTTTTCTTGTAGTGTCTTTGGCTTTGGTATCAGAGTAATGCTGGCATGATAAAATGAGTTTGAAAGTGTTCTCTCTTTTTCAATGTTAGGAAGAGTTTAAGAAGGACTAATGTTAATTCTTTTTTAAATGTTTCATAGAATTAACCTGTGAAGCCATCTGGTTAACTGCCTGCCTTGACCTCCCAAAATGCTGGGATTACAGGCGTGGGCCACTGCACCCGGCCTGCTGGGAGGTTTTTGATTACTAATTCGATCTCCTTACTTATTAGTCTGTTCAGACTTTTCCTTTGTTAATCAGGCTTGGCAGGTTGCACGTCTCTAGGAATTTATCCATTTCTTCTAGGTTATTCAATTTGTTGGCGTATAACTTTATAATAGTCTCTTGTGATCCCTTTTATTTTTGTGGCATCAGTTGTAATCTTTTCTCTTTCATTTTGGATTTTAGAGTCTTCTCTTTTAAAAATAAAAGTTTACTTAAGGGTTTGTCAATTGGGTTTATCTTTTCAATAAACCAATTCTTAGTTTCATTAATTTTTCTATTCTCCATTTTATTTATTTTTACTCTCATTCCTTCCTTCTGCTAACTTTGGGCTTAATTTGTTCTTTTCCTAGTTCCTTAAGGTATAAAGGTAGGTTGTTTAATTGAGATCTTTCTCTTTTTTTCCTTAATGTAGGCATTTATTGCAATAAAATTCTCTCTTAGAACAACTTTTGCTGCATCCCATAAGTTTTATGTTTCCTTTATACAAAGGTATTTTTACTCCACCTTTTTGATTTCTTTTTTCATCCATTGGTTATTCTAGTGTCATACCATGTGGTTAGGAAAGATACTTAATATACTCCCAATCTTTTTACATTTGTTAAGACATGTTTTGTGGCCCAACATATGATTTATACTGGGAAAAGAACAACATATTCTGCTGTTTGGGGATGGAATGTTCTGTATATATCTGCTAGGTCCCTTTGGTCACAGTGTTATTCAAGTCTACTGTTTCCTTGATTCTGTTTCTGAATGATTCTATTGTTGAAAGTGGATTAATGAGGTTCTCTACTATTACTGTACTGCCGTCTATTTCTCCCTTCAGTTCTGTTTATCTTTGCCTTATATATTTAAAGTAATTATAGATAGGTAAGTATTTACTATTGCCATTTTGTTAATTGTTTTCTGAGTGTTTTGTAGTTCCTTTGTTCCTCTCTTGCTGTCTTCCTTTGGCCTTATACATTTAAGTGCTTTGGTGCTGGATGCATTTATACTCACTAGTGTTATATCCTATTTATGAATTGGCCCTTTTATCAT